AAGGATGTGCAAGTGTCCAAGCTTCATCAGAAACCTTTTGCTTATTTTTGTGTGGAAGAATTCAACCAAGCTGATTCCTTTGCAGAGCTTTGCAGCGGCGCTCCAGTTATTTGAAGCTAAAGAGAAGATAAAAGAGGTTTTTGCACCCAGCAATTGAACACCAAGTGCAACATAGTCCAACGTAGTAGAAAAAGAAGAGCTCTTGCCAAGGTATTGGGGATCCAACCGTTGCATGATGGGAAACGATTGCAACTTCGCACATTCCGAGTCGGAGTTGAGGGAGCAGCCGGACCTGGTTGCCACCAAGCTTTGCTTCCAATTTTCGTCCAAGGGTCAGTGCAGCAAGGGTGCAGCATGCACCTTTGCACACGGCAAGAAGGAGCTACGCCAGATGCCAAAGGACCAGACACGACGCAAAGAACCAGAGCCAATGAAGGTCACCGTGCAAAAACCTGCAGGGGAAGTCAGGGATGTCGACTTCAAGTTGAAAGTGATGCAGTCATTGCAGACGGAGCTGGACTTGCTGGCTTTGAATTTTGCACCTATGACTCAGATGACACCCTTCCGTCCTCCACCTGGTTTGCCAGCACCCCCATCCACAACTTGCGCTTCAAAGGCACTTTTGCCCGTTCATGCCGAAGACTTTGAGTCTGAGAGCAGTGCATCAACATCATTTCCGTTCAGCCCTCGAATGGATCCTTGCGAGGTTTCCGAAAGCGAACCTTGCAGCCCAAAGGGCATTCGTCAATTCCATTTTTAGTCTGTTGTCAAGGTGCCTCAATCGTTCAATCCTTTTGCAGTTCCTTTTCCCAAGACAGGCTTTTCCTCACGACTCCGTTTGCGGAGGGGTGAACAAACCTGTGGGTAGCTCCTTTGTATGCCAGTGTCAGTACGCACTGGAAGGGACAAGGTTTGCGCCAATAGTGTCACCTTTGCTGAGGCCAAAGCTGGATGTGCACACGACGTCGTAAGCACAGTCGTTGTGAGCACACTTCGGACTGGACTACAAGGGTGGCCCAGGCTTTGTCTCGAGCAAGGGATATGTTCACAAAGGTACAGATCCAAGTAGAGGAGTCAATGGCCGATGAAAATCAGTGGTGCAGCTGCGCGCAAGTTGCAACATGTTCACAAGCAATGAGGCGGTTCGTTCTTGTTTCATGGCTGGGCCCTTCCAACCAAACATTCAGACAGGGATCACATAGTTGAAAGGCAGACATGTTCTCAGATGTGCAAAAATGGAACCACCTCACTGACAACTGCCATGAGCCACAGCCAGTGCAGTGGCTTCTCATGATTGTGATTCCTTGCCGGTTCAAGGTCAACCATTTTGGTTGCACTTGCCGGAGGGGCACTGCTAGCTAGGTTTGACTGAGATGACGACATCGGAAACTCGCGGCACTTTGAAGTTCACAAGGATGTGCAAGTGTCCAAGCTTCATCAGAAACCTTTTGCTTATTTGTGTGGAAGAATTCAACCAAGTTGATTCCTTTCTGACGGAAGAAGAGGTCAAATGATGATTTACTTGGATGATAGATCCTGCTACCACCGAGCAGCCAGTTACTTTGAGTTTGTTTGAGCTTTGCATGGCTTTGCAGAGCTTTGCAGCGGCAATCCAGTGTTTTGAAATTGAACAGAAGATAATGGAAGGCTTTTGTACCCAGCAATTGAACACCAAGTGCAACATAGTCCAACGTAGTAGAAAACGAAGAGCTCTTGCCAAGGTATTGGGGATCCAACCGTTGCATGATGGGAAACGATTGCAACTTCGCACATTCCGAGTCGGAGTTGAGGGAGCAGCCGGACCTGGTTGCCACCAAGCTTTGCTTCCAATTTTCGTCCAAGGGTCAGTGCAGCAAGGGTGCAGCATGCACCTTTGCACACGGCAAGAAGGAGCTACGCCAGATGCCAAAGGACCAGACACGACGCAAAGAACCAGAGCCAATGAAGGTCACCGTGCAAAAACCTGCAGGGGAAGTCAGGGATGTCGACTTCAAGTTGAAAGTGATGCAGTCATTGCAGACGGAGCTGGACTTGCTGGCTTTGAATTTTGCACCTATGACTCAGATGACACCCTTCCGCCCTCCACCTGGTTTGCCAGCACCCCCATCCACAACTTGCGCTTCAAAGGCACTTTTGTCCGTTCATGCCGAAGACTTTGAGTCTGAGAGCAGTGCATCAACATCATTTCCGTTCAGCCCTCGAATGGATCCTTGCGAGGTTTCCGAAAGCGAACCTTGCAGCCCAAAGGGCATTCGTCAATTCCATTTTTAGTCTGTTGTTGAGGTGCCTCAATCGTTCAATCCTTTTGCAGTTCCTTTTCCCAAGACAGGCTTTTCCTCACGACTCCGTTTGCGGAGGGGTGAACAAACCTGTGGTAGCTCCTTTGATGACTTTGCTTTTGACTATGCCACGCTTTATACAATGCTAGGCCAAAGGCCAGTGTCACTAAACACTGGAAGGAACAGGTTTTATGTCCTTTGGATAAGACTGTTCCCAATCTATTTTCCAATTGAGAGAGGCATAGGAAAAGGATGAAAAAAGAGACACGAACAGTGCGACGAGTTGTGGCAATTTGGCAAGAGAAGTTGGCCAAGATTGACGATGTGCAAAACTTTCACCAGTTAGTTGCATTGGGAGTAGAGTGGTGGAGGGTTAACTTCTATCATCTTCTATCTCCATGTGCTGAGCAAGTCCTGAAAGCCCGGGACTGCTAGGCTTTCCAGTGTCCCTGCTGAAATTTGCCGCCTTCCACTCCTGTGTGCACTTGATCGAGAAGGACGGATTTAGAGCCTGGCCACTGTATTTTTTTGGCCCAATCCAATTGATGGAGGCTCACTGTGGAGGCCGAGTGAGACAGTCGTGTTTTGGACCACCTGTATTTGGAAAGAGAGTACAGAGAGAGGGGCTCCCGGGCTTCCAGTCAATAGCTCGGACAGTGGTGTTTGATGGTCTTTTGGATTCTTTTGGACATTGCAGGCCGGGAAAGCGGCCATCTCAGGTTTGTAAATCCTGCGAGTAGCATTTTGGTCCAGTGACATGAGGAGAGATGAGGATCATTTGTGATCTATATAATATGTTGGATTTGGCCTGCTTCAGAACCCATTCATTTCTGAGCCCAGAGCCTCCGCTTGCACAATGCGCTGCAGGAATGGATAAAGGATTGCGAGAGGTTTGTGGGTGTGCTTGAACCTTAGCGAGAGCTGCTTTGCACTCAAGTGGTCCCACCCCCCCTTCAATGCCTAGGGCCTTGAGGATCCCTGAAATCTCTGAGGGCGGGGTGCCTTTTTCTTTCCCCAGCATACAGAGGTGTCGTGAGGCGTTGTATATCATATATATATATATAGATAATATTGCGATATATTACGCACTTTTTCTCAATAGCCAACGGGGCTGCAGTAGATCCTCATGCACACAATATAGAAATGAACTGTTCTATCTATGATGCTAGTAATGCAATATTTCTGTACTCCCTATAGAAAAAAAATGCACTCCTTCTTGGCAATGTGATACCCTAAAATGGTTCTTTGGGCTCACTTTGCCACCATAGTCCATTTTCTTCCATTCGGTTCTTGCCACTCTCTTTCTGGAAGTCTATTCATATCTTCCCAGTACAGGAACTGGGTTCCTGAAGCGTGCTTCTGTTGGTTCAACATTTGGGTTGTCCCTTCTGTATTCTGCTATTCCAAGTAGTTGTTAATATGTTCCTTGTTTTCGCTCACATCTATCTGCAGAATCCTGATCTCCCAATCCTAGTAGTTTCCATTCTTGTTCATATCTTCAATTTTGGCATGGAGTCTGTACCACACATTTGTACTGGCCTGCATCTTTATATACTCTGATCCCATTGCTACCTCTCTGTTTCCTTTTCTGAATATTCTGTTCAAGAGTCCTGATGGATTTGCTCCTTCACGGGCTGCCTCTAGCATCACCCTGTGTCCTTCGTACCATCCTTCTGTAGCTTGCATAGCTTCAAAGCTCCTTCTGGCTAGGTAGTTTCCTGCATTGATTTCACTCAGGATGTTGTAGCTAAGAATAGCTTGTCTACTTGGTACTTCTCTCTCTACAAAACATCCATTTAGGATTGCTCCACAATGGATTCTCCTGGCATACTCTTGGAGTGTTTCTAACTTCTCTTCAAGTTCTTCTTCTCTCCAAATTCCAACTCTCACTTCAACATCATCAATTTGCTTGTCGATTCTCTGGGCTTTAGTTTCATAGAATCCCGTCATGAAGCTATTTGTCTTAGCAAAATCTGCATGTAGCGCTTCAAGTGTTTGTAGATCTTGATGATCACAAAAATCACTGCTGCAAAACCAATAATGTTGAACACAATAACAATACAGAATTTCAATTCTTCATTGGATTTCTTCACTGCGTCCAATTCACATTGGATATTGCCTTCCTTCAAGAATGCTTCTGCAACCACTGGCTGCAAGCCCTCCAATGCTACCATTCTCACAAGCATCTTTGCAATCTTGTTGACCTTCCCTGCAAAATTACTTTTTTCTTCAAATTCCCTTCTCTCATATTCTCCTACTCTACTTGGTCTTCGCCGTGCCAGTAACCAACGAGGTTCATCAAATATCTGATTCTTTGTCCTCCAAGTGGTTTTGTGTTCAGGTCTGCCATGTTGCTGTTTGTTGGCACTTGTACCATTTAGAAGTCTTCCCTGTTCTGGATCCATAACAATTTTCCATCTAGGTGTCTCACTTTTCCAACTCCTCTCTTTGTCACAAGTTGACGCGCACTTGATGAATCTGTGAAGATGTAATGGTCCACCTTTGTCCCAACACCAAATTCCAGAACTGCTCTGATATAGATTCCATCTGATGCTGAGGAAACTATTGCATGTAGTTCTGCTTCACATGAAGATACGCTGACCATCTTGTGTGTTCTGCTGCTGTTGAACAATGGACAACTGTTCAATGCATGGAATCTTCATGATGTTGACTTTCTGTGGCTTTTGTTTCTACTCCAGTCTGAATCTGAGAATGTCTCCAAGCACCAATAGCTTTATCCTTTCTTGGCATAGCCTTCTCCTTCTTGTGGAAATTCAAGCACTAGACAATAGTCCATAGTCTTCTTCAAGTATCCCAAGAATTTCTTCAAGTGATGACATGACATAGCTGTAGGATTTGACATTCTTGAAGCCAATTCCTTCACTGTGAATGCTACATCATACCTCTCTTGACATAGATAGATACCTGATCCAACAATGACTTGTCTTCCATCTGGATTGAGTTGTCTGCTGGTAGTTGTTGGAGCTTGACAGGTCCAACCTGCTCTTCATAGGCTTTCAACATTTGCTGGATGTAGTTGCCTGGTTGATCCATAATCCATCAACTTCAAGTTTGTACTTTCTCCTCAGAAATTCAACTCATCTCCAATCCTCTCAATCTTGCTCACACTGGTGTCGAATTTGCCTTGAATCTTTGGAAGACAGATTTCATTGATGTACTTTGAGTCTCCTGTAAAAATCGAGTAATCCACATGGATCAAAATGATACTCTTCTCATTTCTTCCTAGGCATGGACACTCGGCACTGAATTGGTAGTTAAGTTCCTTTGTGAGGTACTCTGTGAAAAAGTTGAACCATGCTTTTGCTCCAACTCTTTGTCCAGGTAGATTCCTCTTCACTAGGAGTTCTTCTCCTCTCAAGATCACTTTTAATGGTTTCTCTTGTGGAACTTGTAGAAATGCATCCTTCACATCGAGACATCCTAACATCTGTGAGAATGCTCCTTCTCCCTCTCTTGCCTCATCTTCTTTGCTGATTATCTGCAAAGATATTGTGGGTAGAAGCTTCAGTGCATGTCCTCAAGTCGCTGGTGAGAAAGTGTCATCTCTCTTTCCTTCAGCGAAAGCAAATTCTCTTGCAACTAGTCTTGATCTTCTCTGCCACCTCTTGACTGAAATACAATCTCCAAGTTGATATGGTTTCTTCCTCCAGTCATACGCATTGCGTGTTGTCAAGTATATAACTTATTCCTTTTGTGCTTCCCCTGGTTTCTCTGGCACTTGCATCTTCTGGAGTCTTTTCTCATCCACTTCATCAGCTACTCTGTCAATCCATTCTTCTGGATCTCCTGCTGGTTCATATTCTCCACCACCGCCACAAGCATTCAGGTCCATTTATCTCTTCTCAGTCTGAGTCACCTGCTTCTTCATCATCCCATTCTTCTTCACCAACTTCTTCTGCAACTGGGATAGTTCTTCACCTACATGATAAAGATCTTCTCCTCCAACTTTCACCATGTGGATCTTGGCCTTCTTGCTTGAATCATCTGATGGCCTGAGTTTCTTCATTAGGCTTTCCTCCAATCAAACTTCTCATTTGGCTTCTCATGAATCTCTTTCAAGTCTTTCATGTAGCCCTCACCAATTGCGCTCAAATATTTTTCAACCATCCATGACCGCTCTCTAAATGCCTTGATCTCTTCATCCTGGGACTTGTAGTCAAAGATGTTGGGCTTTGCTATCAATTTTGATCAATCTGTTGTTTGTTGTTGTTGTTGTTGTTGTTGTTGTTGTTTTTCTTTTTGTCTTCGTCTACTGCTTTCTTCACTGCCTCAGCTGCTGATGTTGTTGCCAGCGTACTCTGTGGTATAGTCTGAAGGATTTCTCCGATCTCCTCCATCTTCTCCTTGTACTAATGTCTCTTTGACACAATGTACTGGGTACAGAGTGTTGCTCAACAATTATTCATCAGTCCAGTTGTTTGGGTTCCAAAGGCCCCAAATCCACGGCTCACAATCGCACCCGGGATCCCAGTGACCTAGGGGCTTTTCAATCAGAGTTCCAGAAGGGTACCATATGCGTTTTTTCTTGAGAACCAAAGGGGCTGCAGTAGGTCCTCATGCAGATGCACACAATATACAAATGAACTGCTCTTTCTATGATGCTCGTAACGCAATATTCCTGCACACTGATCCCTATGGAAAACGGTTCGCACATATATAGATATATAGATATATCGGTATTTATATCGTCTTTAATCGTTTTTATTGTTTGTAGTGTTTTGTAGTCGCCCACGTCAGAGCACTACTTGTTCTGATAGATTCCATTTTTGTTGGTAATTAGCTGGTTTTTTCTGCAGGCTTGCCTGTATTGAAAGGTGGTAGGCAATCAGCTGTGTGATCATACACCACAGCCACGCGCCCATGATCACATTTTAGAGCCTTGTTGGGGCTTGCTTCTCTATTTTGTTCAGGGGTGCTCACGAGAAAAGTCTATACACGGCCATGCTGTCTTGATCTCAGGAAGGATGAGTG